ATCGTTTTATACTTAGAACAAGTAAGAGTTTAGCGGATCGCAATCCGCTTACTCCAAGAGTAAGTACAACCATAACCCAAGGCTAATTAACTGTTCAAATTCATAACTGGCTTTTTTTATTTTATCTGAGGCAAAGCCGCATATTTCTAAATGCATAGATTTTCCTTAAAATGTATAGTAAAATCTAAATACATGTATAACTACCGGCTATCCAGCCCCGTACCGTATTCTTGTTTGTGAGTGGTCACACCATGCCCATCTGGTGTGACACACACCCCTTTTACCAGGGTATGTGTAACCTCGTTACACTTCAAACATTGGCAGTCTCATGCGAGAATGCAAAGCTCTCTTTAGGTGTCAGGTCTGAAACAATCAACGCAATATGCTCTTTTCCGCTCAACGTCACCAGATTACGCTTTTCCCTTTATTGTACTCAAAGCATTTGTTCTGATTGCTCTTGATGACACACGAACAGCAAAAACCTTTACATGTACATGCGTTCAGCAAGCTTGCCAACAGACAACAATCTTCTGTAGAGTCCTAAAAATAAAGCTTAATAGCTCAAATTCTCTATCTACCCAACCCAGTCAGTTTTGCCGTGTCGGCGATTTTGATGAGTAGCTTTTTGCCGTCTGCAATGGCTCCTTATATGTTTGTCTCAAGGTCCATGTATTCGAACAAGGCCTTCAGCATATGGGATGTGGCGCCACTGTCAATAAACAATCCTGCTCGATGTCTTTATCCCATAACGGATATTACATCATTGCTGCCGAATAACGCTTCGGACGTGCATTTCTGCATCATATGGCCAACATGATCTTGCCTTTGAGTCCGCCGGTATTGCATGAGACGCCCCATTCTGATTGTTTCCTCGTACATCTCTAAGCATATCCATTAAGATGATAAGTCTGGTCGGTAGCCTTCTTACCTTTTCGGAATTTCATGCAGCTACTCCTTGATTTCAACCAACAAGTTCTGTTGTGTTTTCACGATCGGTTCAACCTCAGATCGCTGAAAACAACCACCGTCTGGCTAAACTCACCAACAGATTCGACCATTATATGGAGACCCACAATCAGCTCTTTAAAAGAGTCCACGGTCTCTACCGTACTATTACCACTTTCAATCGTGAAAGTCGTGAAGTTGACGTGTCATCGTCATGCGATTACGCGGTGTTGATCATATATATATGTATCACAAAGCTTTCCACACTCCTCCATGGCGCTCGTGGATGTCCGCATCATTGTCTGATGCTGAATCTTAACACCTTGCTTAGTGAATTTTAATGACTTGGCGTCTACGTCTCCTTGATATTGTTCTCGACTATGACTGCCATGACTTACCTGAGGATACCCTCCTTGTGGGAGTACTTTTCATATCAAGGTAGTAGTTACCATTTCCCAAGAAGACTTCGGTGTGCTTGTTCTCCGTCGTGCGCACGGACGTTGTAGTGAAGTAAGGCTTAGATGAGGCTGCCCGCCTGTTAATTTCTTAGTAAAATTTGGAATGGAAAGGTATTCTGCTCATATGTGCTCTTCTTAAGGTTGCCATGGTTATGCCTGTTTAGTGAGTCGAAAATCAACACTTGAGTGATAAACAAAGATGTCTTCGTAGCTCAAATTTTGTTTTAGTAATTTTCCATCGCATATTAAACCAGAATTACGATTGCATATCCCACTTTCACAGAAGAATCCGATTCATAATACCTAACTCTTCCAGCTCCAGACGATGATAAGTAATCTCTTAAAGACTGTTAAGTTCAAGTAAATAGTATAATGACGCGTATATTTACCGGAATTTTAGTTGCATCGTTAAGTAGTATGGGGACAAATTGATGGTATAATCAACCCAGGTGTTTATAGGACCATGATGGTTTGTAGGACCCACAATCACATTGTTGGTGGCCTAAAATTGTCATCTTTGATGTATACCACTTAGGCAACGGCTCTACTGGCACACGCCCATTATAGGGTTCCGCCACACTGGAACGGCGTTGCGCCGTTCCGTCAACCTGTCAGTGGTGCCACCAATCGATGACAAAAGCCAAGTGTTGAAACTTCTTTTATTCGTCAGATTGCAAGGACGCAGAACAGAATATTATTAAGGGCTCTATTCGGGACTGAACTATAATCGGGAATTAATCTGGTGTTAATAATATTGATGGTAATTTTCTTGCAGCTTCAAGCCTGGAATATCATCAATATTGCTTTCGCCTACATATCATTAGTCGGGTCCTCTTTGTCTCTTCGTCGATTTTATCAGTTTGACCGATTCTTCATCCAAGTTGTCTAGAAACAATAAATGGCGAGTGGACGGGGATGCAGCAGCTAAACTTATTCGCTCGTTCTCCGGGATAAACGCATACATCGACCCATCTGTGATGGAAGATTTTGTACGCTTCCATACTGTCAGCGTGTCAATGCTGGAGTGCCATGAAGGCAGCGGCACCTGCAATACTTTATGATAAACGGTTGCTAGGTGAATCTGGAACTCTTCAGAAGACGTTCGGCCCCTGTGTCAATGAAGAAAGCAGGTCAGAAATAGCAGCAGTTTTCATAATATATTGTGGGTACTAACCATACGCCAGGAAGGCAAATAGTTTGACCAAAAAGCTCTCCGACGTGGATCACAGTATCACCCAAATAGTTGCAAAGGCTTTTCATGGCCATGGACTCGTGGCTGTCCTCAAAGTCGTCAGGGTAGCACAGAAACAACGCACGATTTGTATGCTTGTGCAGGTCCTGCTCACCGCAAGCAAGTCGCGCCAACATATGAGACCAAAATAATCAAAGCACTTAAAATGTATTTGTTCGCACCTTTGGCGTTCCTTTTAGCACATTCGTCCAGTAAACTTGTTCCACTTCGACATCTTGTTCGTCCTCAAATTCCTCGTCCTCATTTAGTTGATCGGTTTCACCATTTTTAACGTCTTCTTCACCAATATCTAAAATTTCTTCGCCATTATTTTCCTGTGCATCTTCATTGATCTCTTCTCTACATGTTGCAGCACTTTTACCATTCTCCTTGACATCACTCTTCACTTCATTTTCCTCCTCTTCGCCAGCAACGCGCAAATCATATGCAATTACATCCACTCCACGAAGTTGCAGCAGCCGAGCCCAGTACCCACTCCCTGCCCCCATCTCTACAATCTTCAAGAAATTTGTACATTACCTAACAAACTATGTAAACTAAAGCCTTAAAAGCGCTTACCGGCCCGTAGTGTTTGATGATCTGTAGCGCGCGCTCATCTGGAATAGCCCAAGAGTACTTCTGCGTGTTTACAAGGTTTAAAAAAAATAGCAACAAGCGTGCAATCCAAAAGTCTAGTCGCACCATCGCCACGCTCACGTCCAGTGCCGCGTACATTTCGGAGCGCGCCTCATCGCTCAACTCTGGATCGAACACCGCTGTTAATTCTTCACGATGTTCGCGCACAAACTCGCGATAAAAGTCTAAGTATGGATTATCCGTGGAAGTCAACTCCAAAGCCTCCATGCTAACTCGAGTGGCTGCGTTCAAGTACCGGTATTATAAACTTAAAATATGGTGAAATTTACTGCGCCAAAATATTACTAAACTGGAAGATGCTATGAATCTAAGCCGAGAGCAACGGCTGAATTTCGCCTTCGTATCTCATAGGAGGTGACACGCTCAGAAAGCTGCACGATGACAAAGATCGGTATCGCATGTTCACACGTGTGCCGCAGAAAAACACGACGAGCAGCAGTACAGCAAGGCAGATGCCAAATGCAGTGAACGTGCTACAAATTTTCATACCTATGGGCAAAGAACCACCAATGACCGACACGACAGCGACTAATACAGCGTATGGTAATATACTGCGAACATGATTCTCAAGTGACACATGCGCAGAAAGAGACGCGAGAATGGACGTATCGGCGATGGGCGAGCATGTGTTACCAAACACAGAGCCACCAAGGATGCTGCCAAAGCATTGACGCAGATTATCCGCGTCGCCGCCACTTATTGACCAGGATAGAGGTGCAATAATCGGGAACATGATTGCCATTGTGCCAAATGAACTGCCAACAGCAAATGACACGACGTAGCAAAGAAGACACGCGATTGCCGGCAAAATCTGCTTTGGAATGGAGTCTCCAACCACTGAGGCGATAAACGGTGCCGTACTCACCTCACCAATTGCCGAACCAAGAGCCCACGCCAGGGTAAGTGTCAGAGTCGGCTCCAATATATCCTTAACTCCTTCCATCCAGGCTTTGGTTGCTTCGTTCAGCGTAATAATACGCTGCAATAACAGCATCGTCACGGCAATAACCCATCCAGCAGCTGATGCACGGATCAATGACGAAACAGAGTCGCAGTGGCTCATAGCATCGAGAATAGTAAACGATTCGTTTGGTGTTTCTGCATACAATCGGTCAAAGCCATCGAAAATCATGCCCACGAACGTTGTTATAGCGATAGCAAGGAACGGCACTACTGCATTTTGCCAGCGCAGTGGTTTTGTTGAGTCAGGTTCTAGTGGACCGAGCTCAGGTTTCGGACTATCCATCGGTCCAGGGAAATCTGGTGTCATAGGACCGTTATTTATAGGAGATGCTGCAGCGTCTTTCTCGAATTGCACCATCGGGCCAAAATCCTTTTCGCATATCGTTGTGATGAAAATGAAAGCGATAAAGAGAATCGGAAAGAAACGGTAGTGCAAACAGGAAAGACAAGTGACGAATGGGTCCCAATCGAGCTCAAGCCCACGGAGTTGTGCTGCAAGATACCCGACTTCCACCCCGATCCATGAACTTACTGGAGCTGCAAATCACAAGTAAGTCAGTTAGGTCGCAGTGAGTTGAATCGATCAAGGGAGACCTTACACATGGATGGCAGACAAACCCCGACGGTATGAATTATTGCCGCAAACTTTTCGCGACTGACACCAGTCTGACTAAGGACTTGACGCAACGAGCTTCCTACAATTAGGATACAGGAATAATCGTCGAAGAAAATAGCAATGCACAGCAGCCAGGTCGATAGTTGCATGCGCAGCGACGATGTCATGAATTGCTTGGCAACAATAGCCAGTCCGTGGCCCCCTCCACCTTTCTGAACCACACCGATAGTTCCACCAAGTACGAGTGTGAACAGCAGCACACCTGCATGATCATTCACTGTAAATGCATTGACCCAATACTGGTCAAAGGTGCGTAGAAGTGCGGTGAACACGTCTCCATTTGAAACAATACTAGCGCCACACCAAATACCAACAAGTAGTGACACTGCTACCTGGCCCAGCAAAACTGACATGAACAGAGTTACCAGTGGGGGAAGCAGTGAAACCCACCCCGGAGACACGACAACAATCGTCGTGTGCGTCGCGCGGAATAACTTATCATCACCTTGCACCGATTGGGGCAACGATTTTGAGTCCCCTTGAGACGCCTTAGTTCGTGAAACCGACTTTTGCTCCTCCCACACCACCGTAGTAAGATTATGCTTGCCATACGAGTTCAGCTGCAGCTGCTTAACCAAGATTGACAGCTGTGACTTGGAATTGCCGTCAACGTCGAGAGTCGGGATGCTGCCGTTGGTCAACACAGAATGGTCTGAGTCTCTGATGCAGTAAGATAAACGTCTGGGGTATACCGAGCCTGTAACCAGCAACAAAACCAAGTTATACCATTGTATTCGTTTTCGTTTTGTATAATATGCAATTTAGGTGCGCACCATTCTTGAGCATTGGGAGCTCAATTGACGCTTTGAATTTTACTTGCTGCAAGATGACAGAAGGCGTTAGCAGCGCGATGGGCCTGGACCATATGTTGTCTGCATTGCATAGGCTGGCTGCCAGAGCAGTTGCTAGGAGGATCTTTGCGGACATTCTAACAAAATGAGCTTGATGCCAATCATACCAAATCCCTTGATAAGCGTTTAATGTAGGAAAAAGTACTTAATTATCGGCTAATAAACCAAATTTTGAAATCTTAGTAAGCTTCATGTATACTACGCTGCGAGCGCACGCGTTGCGCTTGGATTCGCTCGTCGTAGCATTGGCATTAGGTTTGTCCATCGAAACATTTGCGAAAGAATGCACGTGGAGAACCATACAGTTACGAGCAGGCAAATAGACGCCTCAGAGCTAAAAAAGCTGAAAAGCTGAGTCTTTTCGTATAGCGGGGCTGCAAGTTGCCCGAATACTGAGGTGATAAACCTGAGGATATTTTGTGTAATCAGAGGCCTGTATTAGCTCTACGGTGGTTGTTATGATCATAAGAACTTACAGGTTGTGCGTAGAGTGGTAGAAAACGCTAGACCATATGACATAGCTAGAGTTGCCTTGGATCCAGCACATGATGATGCGGGAGCCTATCAGCAACAACGTAAATACTGCCAGCACATAGACCAACTGATACTCAGGCGTTTCAACGACAGAGTAGCCAGAGCCCTTAGGAACCACATCCAGCGCATCGGCGATAATCATGGGCCAGTGCCAAAGCGCCCATATGCAGCCTGTAATTGCTGACGCGAGAATGGTCGAATGGCTGAAAACGATTTCAAGCGCTATTGCGAATAACGACCGCTATCAGCAAAAAATTATTCAAATTCGAGATGTATCTTCGTCAATACCTGGAAAGAGTGATCCACTCCAGCCGATCTCTTGAATCATTGCAAAGAAAAACCAACTTGTACCTACCCAAAAAGTGCAGGCATTAGTAAATCAATGGGATGAAACATGCCACAATCTATTGTTGTACCTAAAGGTCGTCGGCCCATCGAAAGCCCGATATCATATCGTAGCGGAGGCACTGGATCCCAAAAGATCCCGAGAAGAATGATATAAAAAACGTAGAACACTAGCCCAGAATCAAGTGCTTCTATGTTATTAAAGCTGAATACCATTTCCAGTTTCCGCACAAATGTACGATTAAACTGCACCCCAACAAATTTAGATCATTACAAAACAAGATGCATCAAATGCATCACGTACTGGGTTAACAATTCTTGTCGCGGCAGTAAACGAAAAAGCCGCAAGCTCACACAACACTGGGATTGCGTAGCTGAGCAGTGCAAGACGAAGTGTCGATCTTGATGAATGGGAACTCTTGAATAAGTAATACAATGGCGGTATGTTCCAGTGCGAAGGTGTATTGCAAGCCTGAAGCCTCATCTTTGCAACTGCAAGAATGATGTGAAATTTCACAAGAGATATGTTAGCTTCGCACCAATATCTTGCTAATCGAATTTTGTTCATGTCGTACTGCTTCGCAGCGCAAGTGATGCAATTGCAGGACTGATAAACCACAGAGAACGAAAGGCAAATACAATGGGAGTATTCGGTGAGATGCCCCACTGCTTACAGAACACCAAACCCGTGAGCGATAGGATCACCATCGAGTACAGCGAAACGAGGAAACCAATGACAGCGTCGCGATATGCCCACATTACGTCGGCTGAAAACATGCCGTGAAAAAAGTAGTTGGATAAGCCACGGTCGTTGCGGTGGTGGTACTGGTGTGCCGCTTGCACAAGCGGATAATACTCGTCCCAAATATTCTTGCCATCGCGTCCATCCTTCTTGGTATCCGCGGACACTACGTGATCACGGGGCACTGGACCTACAAGCGCACTGGCAGGTAGGCGAGTCTCAGGATGAGATCCTGGCTCTAGGTCTACTATCGTCCCGTACATTGTGGTAGACGCGGAGCTAGCCACATTGCTCATGGTATTGCTAGTAGTGGCACTGCTGCCACGGCTGCGTTTGCCCATCGCCGAGGCCCGTACTCAGCCAGTGCAGTGTTGTTTAACCAATATGGGCAGATGACGACGAGCAAGTAAGTCGTGATAAATTGATTGAGTCTGCGCTTACTTCCCTTGGATTTTTAAAATTCGAAACATAAAGGCCCAAAGGGGCAACCTTCGCACGACGTTACAAAAATAGTTCCTATCTCATGTACAGATAAAAATCTTCGGTTATCATTAGTTTTTAACCACTGCGTTAATTTATATGCACCCGTCATACACGAGTATATTGTGAAGGTGTAAGGCTTATTTTTTAGTATGGGAGAATAAAAAAAATGCCCCAAATTTTGCCATATATAAAAGAAATATCCCAACTTCTCAAAAAATAGAAAAAATACCTCAGCACGTAAATTATCACCGGGAGCCGTAATATTACACAACAGAAGATGTATTGTATTAGGAATGAATTAGCATAATTTAACAAAATACCCAACAATAACAAAGTATACATTAATATGCTTAATATGCTATAACCATTCAGTTTACTATTAACCAAGTAAAGCTAAATTAAAGAATA